GTAAAGAAAGATTCAAATGGAGAGTTTAAATTAATTTAGCTCTTTGTGAAGTTCATAGTTTTATACACATATTAAAAAAGAAACACCACAGCATTATAATGAGCTATGCTGCTGACAGCCCTATAGTTAGTTACACTTGAGAATTACGGGGTGAGTAGGGCTGTGCAGACATTTTCAGTAGATTTTTTCCCACAACTTTAAGGAAATATTAAGACTTTAAACAGTTATAGCAGCTGCAAGTAATTTATTGGCTGAGCTGGGAAATACCATCTCCTATAAACCACTCTCAACTCTCGCTATCACCATCATCTCAATCAAACAACCAGATGGCAAATGGATGGTGGAAGATTATATTTTAATATTAACTAACTATATATTGAGCATGATCCTATATCACGTAAAAGATGCAACTGTGCTTCCACAGTAAAAACATTCAGAATTTTTTTCCAGGTTGCAAATGAGGTTTCTTTGAATAACTTTTTTTAAAGGTTGGCTGCTGTTCTAATGATGAATTGTTATAAGTTTTGAGGCTTAACCTTCATAAAACAATAGATTATTAAATATCATAGCAAATATTATTATAATGAAACAATTTACTGGGTATCTGATAGGTATTTTAGAATTGAAAGTATATTATTACCCCAAAGCAAAGCCTTTGGGTACATGTTATTCAGCTAGCACAACTACCCTCAGTATAACATAATCTATTTAACAATCTTTAACAAATATATATTGAGTACCTACTTTATGCCAAATACTGTTTTAAGTTATCAGGGCATACAGGGAACAGGTCCGATGAAAATATCTTTTGTGGAGCTTCTATTCTAGTGGGAGAGAAAGATAATAAATAAAATAAAAAATTAAATATATGCTAGACAGTCATAAGTACTAAGAAGACAAAATAAAGGAGAGCATGGGAAGGAATTGTGGGGAGTTCCCATTGCCAGTGGGAACCCAGTGGCCAGCCTGGGTCCATTGAAAAGATGGCATCAGCGTCAAGTTCAGAAGGAAGGGAGGGAGCCAGCCAGGTGGGCAGTGGGGGAGAGGAAGGGAGTTCCTTTGTTTTAAGCAAAGGAAACAGCAAGTGCAAAGGTGGTGGAGGAAGTTAGCCCCTGAGTCTCAAGATTTATGGTGCCTTTTCTTGCCTTCCCACTGGGGGCCTCTCAGCACAGTGCGATCTTTAAAGGAGAGGACATCAGAGTTTACCTCCTGCTTTGATTGTCCCTGTTTGCAAGGTTTAATCATATTCTAAGCCTTTGTGCTAGTTGCAGTGGTTTAAGCAGTTATTTCGCTTGCTTCCTGTGTCAGTCCAATTGCACTCCCCTCATTGTTATTTAAGTATAGCCTGCACTTCATGCTCATAGCTGTTCTGTTTAATAGAGCAGCCGCTGACTACCTCATAACTATTCATGACGAGCAGAAGGAACTAGCTCACACGTCTATTTTTGGTGCAAGGACAAAGCTCAGGTCCCTGGTGAAGTTTCTAAACAGATCTCTGTGTTTTTCACAGAGTAGTCCCCCATATGTTTTTGTGGAAATACAGCTTTTCGAAGCAAGATATAACTGCAGCCCCCAGTAACCAAAATACTCTTTATTTTATACAAGAACATGAATCTTTGTTTGCTCTATTATTGTTTTTTAACCACAAAGTGAGAAGTTAGTTAAGCAAGTGATTTGAGGGAGTATATAGACCATGTGAATAATTCAGGCCAAAGCCTTTGAATTTGGGCTCTGCGTAATTAGCATGATCTAGCTAGCTAACCCAGTTACTCATCTGTGGGGCAAGAAATCTGGTTCAAGATCAAGTCCTAAATAGAAATGCTAACACCTTTCGGAAGTTGTCTTTCTCGTGGGCTGTTTTGTTTATAATCAAGTGAACAGAGAAGCATTATAAAATATTCAGAGTATTAACACGGACTTCAGCATGCAAACACTGAAGGGAGTTCTTTAATGAACCTGACCTTGGATTATTAACATGCCGTTAGACACATGGCTCAAGAGTGGATGTATTTTCATTGATGAGAATGGAATGGTGGAGGGGGAGCCCTGGGATTCCTAGTGAATGTCCTGGTTGAAGTGAAAAGTATCTGAGATTTTGTGTGGATGTCCCCTTTACTGTTCTCTATTAAAAGTAACTCACACAGTGACGAATCATCATTGGAGGTAACGAGGCTCCAAAATTCTCTCACGAAACAGATTTTGACAGTTATTGAGCTGGATTGGTGAATGCCATAGATTAACCCATCGACTGAGTTACTCGAATGACTGCAGCTTCTTTGAGGGTATTTCAGTAAACATTATTTTAAAATCTACAAAATGCATACAATTCTATAAATACTGAGTAGCCATTCTTCTCATGTCGATGGCTAATTAAGGCTTTTATTGACTTCCTGACTTTTTGTGCGACATGGAGTTTTTTTTTTTTTTTTTTTTACTGAAGCCTGTAACCGAATATGATTACACCATACAGTTTTACTACCTATTTCCATTTACTCTGAGAAGACAGCTCCCTGGAAGAGTAATTTTCTGGTACACAAATTCTGAGATAAAATTGTTATAGTAGTTGCTTTTCTTCTATTCTAAAATGTACCATCAGTTAAGAGAAAGAAACTAATGTCAGGGAAACTAAGGAGGTTTGTGATTTGCTGCTGGGACAAGGACAAAATGGCTCCAGATATAAATACGAAGCCATTAGTGGAAACCCTACCAAATGAATCCCTGTCCACTGAACCCCCACCCCATGAGCAGCTGCTGAACAAGCTCTCTCCCTTAGCTCTCCTTAGAATAGCTCGTATCTGACAAATGGCATTGGTTTAAAAATCGCTTTGTATTGGTTTTGTTTAGCTTTTCCACAAGAAATGGGAAATTTCCAAAGCTCTATTGACAGACATAGAACCAATTTCTACTGACAAGTTGAATTTTCTAAACTTCCTGACTGTTTTGATTAGATTTAATATTAATAAATGTAATTTAGATGAAGGAAAAAAATCTCATGTAATGTGCTTTTCCTCCTCTCCTCCCCACAAGTCATAACTTGACCCCTTGAATTTTGTATAATTAAAGAATAAACCAAATTGGTTAATAAGCACATGTTGGCATAACGTGACATCGAACTGGATTTGTTGATGTATTCTTCCCCTCTTTTGTTCCCAGTAAGAATACCCGGACTTCAGATACCTTGAGCAAGCAACAACAGACCCTGAGAATGCATATAGACATACCCAGGGCTCAGCTTTTAATTGAAGAGAGAGACACAATGGAGACCATCGGTAGGTGCTGTGTTTGCTGCCTTACACAATGTAGCTGCTGCAGCAATGCCCTCTCAGCCCAGACCCTGGATGGTGGGAAATGTTAGATAGGGGGACATTTTAAACGCTGCATGTGCAAAGAAGTTAGAAGGTACAGAATAGATATTGAGGAGAATGAGTACCAGCAAATGTGGAGGGAAATTTACTTACATACACCTCAGAAGACGCCTGGGACAGGGGTTCGCCAGCTCTGATATCCACACCGGATCTTTCCTTGAGAGACTATTGGTGCCATTCCAAAGAAAAAAATGCCTGTAATGAAAGAAAACTGGAAGGGCTGCACACTTCATAGAGCACCGTCTTGGAAATTTACTCTATACTCATCAGCTCCAATGAGGCCAGCCTTCATTAAAGAAAACATTTAAACTCTACTTAGCATTTGGAAAAATGTCTTTGCACAGGGACCTGTTTCCCCCGCACCCCCATGCACTGTTTCCTGGCACTGTTTCCTTAGGAGGGCTTTGGGAAACACGCAGCTCCCTTATTTCAAAGTTGTAGAACAAACACCGAGAGAGGTTTGTGGCTTGACTCTTTCCAGTTTCTTTCCACCACCCCACACTACCTGCATGTGTCATTCTGTTTATTCCAGAATTAGAGACTTTATATTCCCAGTGCAATATAAAGAAGAGCTAACATTCATTGAGAGTTCCCTAAATGTCACATACATTTATAAGCACTTTGTGGGCATCATTTAATTTAACCCTCCCAACCAATATATGAAAAAAAAAAAAGGTACTGCTATAACTGAGATGTAGAGAGGTTCTGTAATTTGCCAAGGTCACGTAGACATCAGGAGCAGAACCAGGATTACCACCCGCAGCCTCCTCTCGAGCCCACCTGCCTTCCCAGCAGGCCATCTGCCTCCAGTGATGGGACCATTGCCACCTGCTTCCAAGTCAACCAGCTACTTGCCAGCACCCCTTGCCTTAGCAATACCTCGGAGCTTTCTAGTACCCATGGAAACAGACTCTGAGGCTGGCTCTTGAGGCTGCCTCTTTTCAAATTTAGCTCAGCGTTTGCTTTGGAAGGTATTTGCTGGCATTCTGGCCCCAGGGAAACCCTTTCCTGTGGCCTGGATAAAACTGCCCGATTCCTGGCATGAAACCCAGATACCTCCTAACAGCAAGGCAGTGATAACAGGACAGACTGGCAGCATACCTGTTTCATCTCCCACTCTTCGCCCCACCCCACCCCACTTTTTCTTCAGTGTTCATCTTTGCCTATTGTTGTCGATTGCCATCCAGTTGGCACCAACTCACGGCCGCTCCGGGCACAACAGAACTAAATGTTGCCGGGTCCTCCACTATCTTCACAATCGTTGGTATGCCTGAGCCCACTGCTGCGGCCACTGTATATTTGGAGTGCCTTCCAACCTAGGAGATTCAGCTTTCAGTACTACATCAGACAATATTCTGTTGTGACCTATAGTGTTTTCACTGGCTAATTTTCGGAAGCAGATCGCCAGGCCTTTCCTTCTAGTCTGTCTTAGTCTGGAAACCTGTCCACTCTGAGTGATCCTGCTGGTATTTGAAATACCAGTGTCATAGCTTCCAACATCACAGCAATA